CAGTGGATGCTGAGGTTTTCAAAAGGGACAGCTCGGATGTGGTGCTGCAATATATCTGTCAGAGTACGCAGGTCTGGCTTATTGTAGGGACCCAGGTAAGAAATTCGGGCAAAATACTCCTTGATGTCCATTCTGCCTCTGAGAGAGGGGTTGGAAAAAATAATAGGTTGTGTCAGAAGTGATGGAAAGATCTTCCCATCCCTTTTAATGGGGCGCTCGGAAGAGGAACAGGATTTGACTAACGTCTGTCTCAAAGGCAGCTGAGTATTAACACTGAGAGAAGCCAATGGGACACTGCTGATGAGCACAAATGTTATTTTTATTTGCTTCTTTTACAGCTATGATGAGAGGCTCCAGCTGTGCTAAGCACATTTCAGCAGAGTTCCTGCCCAGCAAAGCTACAAATCTCTGTAGGAAGGAACAAAAGCAGTAGCAGAGATGTTTCCCTGCTAGAAATTATAGGAACTGAGACTCTCCAGGTCTGAACTGCTTTGCTCATGCTTTGACTCATTGAAGCAGAAAACATACCCTCCCACTCTTGCAGAGCAATCCAGAGCCTCCTCTGCAACCAAATATGACACAAATCTGTCCCGCTGTGGTATTTCTTCATTATTTAGGCAGCCTGGCACGAGCTGGTCTCACCTGCTCCTGCTCTCTGTGCCTGCAGTAGCAGATGTGACCTGAAGTGCAAAAGGTTCCTTTAGGGCAAAAAAGGCTGTGGGAGCTTTTTTGCTGCAATTGCTCTGAGCTGCCTCCCCCCAGCACAGCTCAGCTCCCCAGCTCTGCTAATCACAGCCCCGTGCCAGCAGCAGGAGGAATCCAAGGTATGGACCAAAACTACAAGTTTCAGGGGGGTCTCAGATTTTCTAGCATCATTTTTTGGAATGCATGTGCTCCTTCTATATGCGGTCATCCCAGCAGTGGGTGTCTGGCCATGGGTAGGGGAGCAGGCATTGCTCTGGGATGGCAGAGGGCTCAGTGTGAGGCTGTTTCACAAATATAGGGGTTGAAAGCAGCTCAAGCCCTCCCAGCCCTTGATGGAAGGAATGGGCTTTTGATGGAGCCAAGAACTTTTGTTATTCCCCCCCAGGCACTGCTAAAATTCAGGCATCTGTAAGTGTGGAGCGATGTTGTTCAGTTTGCTGGCCCAAGAGGTCCCAAAATGTTCTCAAGTTCCCGTGTACAACTCTCAAAGTAAAATTGTAAGATAAACTCCAGCAGTTCCAACAGGATGATATTCTCAATCCGATGAAAAATAGCGAAGCCAAAATTGTGTGGGAATTTTGGAAAGATACTTTCAGGACATAAAGAAAGCAATGAAAATGAAAAATTCCCGTTTGGAGCAATATCCTGGTAGCAGCAGAGGGTGCCTTGCTTTGGCTCCCCACATGTCCTAACCTTTAAGGTAAAAGCCTTACAGAAGAACTCAACTGTTGCATCATGGCCACTCCCACGTTTCAACATCCTAAAAGCAGGCCAGAGTGATCCATTGTGGGGTTAAGAGCATCAAATTTAGGGGACTCTCTTTGTTCAGCTTTTGCCTGTTCCCAAGATTTTCCCCAAAGACCCGGAACTACAACTCTATTCACTTTTACTTACAGGGAAAACAGTGGTGTGGGTTTTGTCTGTCTGTCTGTCCGTCTCTTACGGGTGTTTATAAGGCTGTTTTAACTGAAATAAGGCAGATGGCACAAACGCCCGACTTGCTTCAGGCAAACAACTGAGTAAATAAAGCAGTGTATCTACGACACCGAGCAGCTGAGCTCTCCCTGCTCTGCCCTTACGCCATTTCTGCTGTGTTTTGTCTCCAGCCAGACTTAACTTCCTGGTTAGACAACGCTCAGCTACCAAGATCCGGGGGTTAAAAGAAAGGCTTACCTGCAAAATCAGTTCAAGCACCAGGATACCTCCAGGATTTGGGGGGGGATGGTTCTAGGCTAAAGCAGGTGGCGTGGCTGGCTGTCCTTTACCTAGCACAGGCAGGGCTAGGACTGCTCTCCAGCTGCTCTTCAGGGAAATGTCTTTTCCCTGAACTTGCTGTCACCCGCCTCTGACTGATTGCAAAAGCTGGGGAAAAAAAAAAAAAACAAACAGAAACGAAACAACCTCAAAGGGTGGAGCGTGAGAGCTGGAGTGAGCCAGCAAAGCCAACAGCAGTGGCTCGACACGCATGCAAACCTGGCTGTTGGAGCAGAGGCTGCTTCACATTTTCGCTTGTTTCCTGCTCTCTGCAGGGGCCAGCTCAGGCTGTCACCAGAAGGGTATGTTTTTGTTCCAGTAGCTTGCTGGATGCACTCAGGTGATACGG